ATGCAAAAGCAGGCAGAAAAGCCTGGGAACACCAGAGTTTGTGTGTATATAGAGCACAGGCTTGGAGGAAGGACACAAGGTAAAACCACCAGTGGGTCACAAAGAGGAAGGCAGAGGAGACTTGGGGCGTTGGTGCCTAAAGTGAGCAGCACCTTACTAGCACCTCCTTTAACTCTTACCAGACCCCTTTGAGGCAGAGGGGAGAGCCCACCTTTGGAGGGACTGAAACTCAGGATAATTAACTTGCCCAAGGCATGCTGCTGATAATAGAGTCTACTTTTGAAACCAAGTCTGCTTAACTTGCTCTTCTCTCCTCTCCTCTCTTTTTACCATATCAGTCAATGGGCTTACAATTTTTATACTCAGGCATTGTCAAAGGGCTTTGAGCAGGAGTGGATGTTATCAGAAGTGCTCATCAGGGAAGTGAGACAACAGCCTTCTGAACTCTGGATGGAAAGCAGAAGCTTTCGTCATCACTGTTCTGGCCCACATGTCAGATCCAGACATCAGAGTCACTAAATAACTTTACTGTCAGAACTGATTTGCCATATTTCCAATCCTTCTCCACTCTCCTATTTTACATTGGTAGCATCCTGGTTCCATTTGGGCTTAATTGTCTTTCATTATTTATGCATACAAAAACTGGGGTAAAGGCCAGAGATGCAGGGGGTGAGAGAATTCACCAGAGACAGAGTGGGGAGTAGAACAGGCAGATTGACTGACATACACGGCTGCGAGGAGAAGTGGGTGGGTCAGGAGAGGTCTGCTATGCCATGTGGCTCAGCTCCCTGGCCAGGGATGGAACTCCTGCTGCAGTGGCTGTGATAGCTTCATAGAGCTGCTTTTCAACCCCTTGCCTCCATCAGGAGGCCCTTAATGCCTTTGAGTACAAACCTTGTAGGTTCAATGCCATACTACTTATTAATTGACTAAGAGGTTCTTCAGTCCTTCGCACCTCTGAAACAATATTTTCTCTATGGTAATCCACATGCTGAACTCTGATGGAAAAGATGGGCCATCTACCAGTTCTGAACTTTGTTTTTTTACACTGACTTCTCTAGAATGGCATGTAAACAAGGAAAACATAGCATGCTTATGCTTCATACTTTAAAAACACATCTGGAACTACTTGAACCAACTAAAAGTAACCTAAGTGCCATGGCAGATTATGCCATACCGTTTCTTTTCACTTAAAGAAAAAAAAAAAAGGAAATGGAAAACATACCACTTCTGGAAGGCCCTGACATTGAATTGGATATTGAAATGGTATTGGTAATGTATTTATATATGCCACATTTTCTTCCATGCATCAGCCATCTTTGTTACATATGTGTTGGCTATTTGCCATGTGAATTGAAATATTACCACATAAGGGAAGATCATCGTGTTTAGAATTGGTGTGAACCATTAAAGTAGAAGTACCTGGTTACGTATGGCTTCCTAGTCTGTTAGGGATTTTTTTTTCTCCTTTTACTTTTTTAAAAGTCATTTTGTGTCAGTCTTTCAATAAATATCAACATTCCTCTATGGCCACTAAAAATAAAAATTATGCATAAGAACAGTATGATTTTCATGAACTTAAAAAATTACATAAGAAATATCATAACTTAATATTGGTTTTACTGTATCCTCTCATTTGAAATAGAGTGAAATGCTTCTGTGGTTAAATCATAGCTTTTCGGCTGTTTGCTATAAAAGTTTCAAGAATATATATTTCAAAATGTTTTTTTTTTTTTTTAATAATCCAAAACAAATGCAACAGAACTCAGCATACTTGAAACACGTTTTCTGAATTTATCTTAAATCTCTCTACTCCAGAGGGTTTTTGTGTGTGTATGGCTTAGGCCTGGCTGGTTATTTCACCATCCATCCCCATCCTGGATTGATTGCTCTGAACAGCACACAATGAGTTACATATGGTCCCACTTTGTCTTAGTTTTTAAGGTCCTCTGGGCTGGAACTCTGTTTGATCAGAGGGAAGCTAACTGTTGCTGAGAGTTGGCTAATGTTAAAATCCTAAATATACACACAGTCTAGTGAGGATGTATATATTCCTGCTGGAGGTGTTTGGGGGTTTGCCACACATGGGCCCCGTGGCTATTGTTTCTAAAATAGTGCCCACTGCTATTACCACGTATATCTTTTTTTTTTTTTTTACATCATTACTACTATTCTTGATAGAAATCATTGCAAATGTAGACCAACACAGGCATGTACCAGCCTATCTTCAAATCAAATTTATAAAGCTAAAACCTTCATAAAGTCAGACAAGAAGAGCAGATGTGAAGATTGTCTTACAATTTGAAGAAGAAATTCATTGCCAACATTATAGTTTCTTTCCTTTTTTCTTGGCATGGGCTAATTTAAAAAGAAAAAAAATACATGGTTTTCTAAGACATGTTTTCCAGTTTAGGTATTGCTGCAGGACTGCAGGAGAGTAAGGCAGGCAGGGGCTCCTTCAGCTAAGGCTGTTCCTTCAGGGGTGAACAAAGCTGTGCAGGGTACGTCTCTCCCATTTTGGTCCCTCCTTTCTTTTCCTTCTATCGCTTTATTTATTTTTTCATTATTCCCACTCCTCCCCCCACCCTCCTGCTCTTCCTCTCTGTCTGTGCACCCACGTGCTTCAAATCTGTGTATCTGGACTGCCTTCTCCAACAGTTCAGCGTGAGTGTTAGCAGAATGAAAACCAGATGGACCAGCAGTTCCCACTGTTATCTCCCCGCCGACTCTGGCAAGCCTCCTCTCTTCCCTCCTTCCTTGGCATGGCAGAAATATTTGCCTTTATTTAGGGAGACTTGTATTCGCTGCTGTACCTCTTCCTCAGCTGCAATGTAAGCGGAAAGCTATTTATTTCCTTGTTGAGGTTGGTTGAGGTGAGTAGACTGTGTGGTAGATTTAACTATAGAAGTGGTTTTAAGCCTGCCTTGCTTATGTGTTTTTTCTAGAAAAGGTGACTTATTGATAACACTGGTTGTTAACTGTTTGGGAAAAGCAGATAGAAAGAGAAGTTTTTAACAGTAAATTAAAAGGTAGAAATGTTCTCTCTGAATCTGCCGTCAGCCCATCAATTCAATCCTTTCATTGGCTTGTAGGGATCGTCACTGGTCTTCAACCAGCAGCTGATCAAGAAAGAGACCCTGATACAGTTAGTCACTAGATTGTCCGTCAAAAACACTTCTAAAGTGATTTTTTTCATTCTTTTACCTATCTACCCTAATGTGTCATTATTTTACCTTTTGAATGTTGTGTTCAATCGCAACCTAAGTCTTATACATGCATAGAAAAAAAATCAAGTAGTTTTTGAATTGTTAATTTTGGCTTTCATTTTCTTTTTTTTTTTTTAAAGATTTATTTATGCATACAGAACTGGGGTACAGGCCAGAGGTGCAGGGGTGGTCACCAGAGACAGAGTGGGGAGCAGAACAGGCAGATTGAAGTACACTGCCTAGGGAGCAGTGGGTGGATCAGGAGGGATCTGCCGTGCCATGTGGGTCACCTCCGGGGTAAGGATGGAGCTCATGCTGAAATGGCTTTAGCTTCTTAGTGCTGTGATTTAACCCTCTGTGCTACTAGGGAGGGCCCTCATTTTCTTTTTTCTTTTTTTTTTTTTAAAGATTTATTTATTTATGCACACAGACTGTGGTATAGGCCAGAGGCTCAGGGGCGGTGAGAGGCTTCACCAGAGACAGAGTGGGGAGCAGAACAGGCAGATCGACGAAGTACACTGCTGAGGGGAGCAGCGGGTGGGTCAGGAGAGGTCTGCCACACCATGTGGTCACCTCCGGGGCAGGCGGGAATCGAACTCATGTAGAAGCGGCTTTAGATTCTCAGTGCAGTGATTTAACCCGCTGCGCCACCAGGAGGGTCCCCTCATTTTCTTTTAATAATTAACTCTTAACTAATTCTGAGAATTGCTCACTATAATTACCATCATGTTGACACATTCTTTCTCAAATAGCCTATGTTACTTTACTGTTCAAAAGTCCAAGTGGGAAATGCCATTGTCTAAGGTGGCAAGGGACACCTCAGACATGTTTGAGGTGTGTACATGTGCACACATGCATGTACACGTGTTAGCAGAAATTGGGAGCTAAAGAAATACTCATTTTTACTGAGAAGTGTTGCTTTGATAAGATTAGACTGAGAAAAAAAATCAGAATTTCAAAGGAAAAGTATACTTAGTAGAAGGCAGTCTGGAAGTGCAAATGTTCACTAGTGGGTCTTCAAGAACTTTCTCCATCTGTTACATACTCAAGACAATATACTAGGAGGTTCTTCAGTTCTTTTGAGTTCACCATTTGGCACTTTCTCATTAGTCTGCCTGGGATTCTTAATACTACTGGTCTTACCTTTTTAAAATGTTGGGTCATAACCTTGCAAAGTCTCAGTTAAAATAGCCCAACTTCCTTGTATGACATGCAGTATTTATATGGCAGTGCTATTTTTTTTTTAACAGAACAGAAAAAAAAAATCAAAGTGAAATATAATCTGGGAGAAATAACTTGCTTCATCGTATTAGCCAGAAAGCTAAGCACAGAAACCGAATGGCAGGTGTTAGAAAAACTCACAAAATACTGGCTCCTGCCAGTATCTCACCTGCATAACAGAGCTTCAGATTTGTGTTATTTCTGAGCTGTCTGAGAGGCTCATTACCATCCTACTTCCTCATCTATTTTTTGCTTCGTGCTAACGTTGGCTTCAGCTTCCAGTGAAGTTGCGCTGTTGCGTATAACACCACCAAGGTAGCATCTGCCCCAGACAGAAATAACAATAGGATGTAAAATAACCCAGTTACAAATGAGGTCCTGCCATCTGGCTACACCTTCTTAAGTGGGGTTTGGATGATAAAGTTCTGATTTAAACTTCAGTAGATAAGCCTATTTTATTGATGGATGGTGTTGCATTTCTCCTGTTCACTTGCTTGTAAAAAAGATGAACCCAATTTAGGAAACCGAGGTGTTTAAGGAGTAAAATAACATGTTCATGGTGGCGTCCCCCAGATCGGACTGAGAAGCACTCCACGATGCCTGACTCACCTGTGGATGTGAAGACCCCGTCTAGGCTGACGCCACCCACAATGCCACCTCCCCCTACAACTCAAGGCGCCCCAAGAACCAGTTCATTTACGCCGACCACACGTGAGTAGGAATTTCTCCATTTTCTGTTATTGTTTGGCAGTTTCATAGAGATGTCTTCGCAAATAAAAATGAAAGGAAACAAAGGTCCAGCATCAATGTATGATGTGAAAATGATGCCCATCCTGCTCTCACCTTCCCACGCCAATATATTTTGCCTGTGAGTAGGTTCCAGGCACAGAAGTCTGTCTTAGGTATAATTTGCATGACTGCCAGTACTTGCCAGCCTATTCATGATTGTAGTCGGCCATGATTTCAGCAAATGAAGGACACTGCGTTTGGTCTGTACCTTTTGTATGTCCCTCGTGTCCCTCCAGTTATTATTGCTATACCTTGTAGTTTGACTTATTGTGGTGTTCTTTATTTTTGTTTGTTGGGTTTGACTTGGAGCATGGAAATATGCATAATAATTTCTAGGTTATTGCTGATCTTCCGATACTATTTTGTTCTCTTTGAATGGTTAAAAAAATGTTAAATTCTAACATCCCTAGTTAAGAGCAGTATGACTGTGTGCAACTGTTTCATATTGAAAGCTTTCTGAAGTTAGAAGTCTCTTTTTTTGGCTTGCACTTATCAGACCTTTATTAAATCTTTTACTTGGTTCCAGCTTGGTTGGATCATAGTGTGTTCCAGACCAGTGGTGTGTATTACTTTCTGTGTTGACCAAGAACATTTTGACAGAGCAACAAATTCTCTTTCCTGTGTATTACAGTGGGGATAGCAGATAGGTTTGTTTTCATCAAGTCTGGTTAAAATTGTCTCCAAGGATTTCTGAAAGTAATAAATTTGCTTGTTGCTGAGACTACTATGTTTACAGGCCATGTGCCTTGAAATCTATATGAATGAAAAATAAAGCACAGAACTAGATCCCTGGATTGTAAGGAGTCAGGGAACTACGTGTACCTGCTGATGCAGTCTTGCACTGCCACGCACAAGATCTTTCAAGTGGGCAAGAGCAGGAGGCTTACGGCAGTGCCTACTTGTAACCCTGTCATCTTGTATTTGATTTGTTGTTCCCCAAAACTACAGCAATAGGCCTGTGTCTATCCTGGCGATACCCTAGTGAAGGTCCTGGTGAGCAATCATTTCTTGACAGGTTGCTCTGCTACTCATTTGAGCAAGAGACTCTGTTAGCATCATGAAAAATAGGGTACTTAACACATCTTCAAACTATTGTTGGAGATAGTTTATCAAAATTATATTTAAATGATGGGTCTGATAAAGATCACTTTGTCAAATTAATTGACGCTACATGATAAAAGCAACATGTTCTGTAGTGAGAAATGTGCAATATTTTCTAGCTTGATTCTTATGAATCGTTACCTTGATGTTCACATCAATTTTATCAAAAATGCTTATTGAGTTAGCATCCATTGATGTGGTTGGTTGGATTGAGATGTCCCCTTTCCATTTCTTGAAATAACTTCTTGATGATTGCCACATACATCTTGGCTTCCTACGTAAAATCTGCAATTCCCCCAGAGAAGTGGTTAAGAAATATGAGGGGGAAAATAGCCTTCTAATTGGGTGGTAGAAGGTTAAAACTTGAAAGTCCCATTTCTATAAACACAGCTGTCAGTTGTGTGTACAAAACATGATTAAAAATGTGCAGTGATAAATTTAGTCTCCACCAAATGTACACTTTCTCTAGGGGAGCAGTTTAGAAAGGAATAGTCCTGTTATACTGATGTAAGCCTGTGACAAAAGGCTGACATCCAAGCGCTGTTTGTTCTGTGTTTGCAGCATTTCAGGTGGCTGGCATATGTGCACATGGGAGGCAGGGCTGTCCCGGCCCTGCCGCCGACTCCCGTTTATTATTAGCTTCTGTGCTCAATACCATCTTGCAGTGTGAGGAGCAGCCCCTGTAGTTCGACACCGGAACCTGGGTGACCCTCAGAAGTCAAAGCATTTACCCAAAAGCCTCAGCAGTTTTTAAATTGTGAAATCTCTATATAAAGGGAAGGAAACTTGGTTATGTTTCCTTGTGCGTGTTCTCTCTTAAGTTTATTTTTTCTCTCTGATTTTCTGCCTTGACAGTAACTAACGGCACCAGCCATTCACCCACAGCCTTGAATGGCGCCCCATCACCGCCCAGCGGCTTCAGCAATGGGCCTTCCTCTTCTTCCTCCTCTTCTCTGGCTAATCAACAGCTGCCCCCAGCCTGTGGTGCCAGGCAGCTCAGTAAGCTGAAGCGGTTCCTTACCACCCTGCAGCAGTTTGGCAATGACATTTCACCAGAGATAGGAGAAAGAGTTCGCACCCTGGTTCTCGGACTGGTGGTAAGCAAATGGCAATCAGCCCGATTTTCTGGGGGTAAGGATAGTGTATGGGGGACAGTCAGAAGTAGAGAACCTGTTCTATTTGTCTGGGATAGTTCCAGTCTCAGAGATTGCATGCAGGCCTGATTAATCCCAAAGTAGCAAGTTTTTCAACTCTGCACAATGTGTTAACCCTTGTCACGGTTCCTCATCATGACTACTTAAGGTAGGGCTGTTCACAGTTATTGTTATCTTGATTGTAAGTGGTGTGTGTGTGTGTGTGTGTGTGTGTGTGTGTGTGTGTGTGTGTGTGTGTGAGAGAGAGAGAGAGAGAGAGAGAGAGAGAGAGAGAGAGAGAGATGTTGAGAGAGAGGGAGATTCAATAAGTACATCTTCCTGGCATAGCTAGTGGCTTTTAACAATGACAAGATGTTTTTGTTATGCTAATATTTCATTTAATTTAATTGGGTCCTCATTTTAACTTAGTTGCTTTGAGGGATTTTTATTATCACCCTAGATGAACAAGAATTTATAACAAGTAACACATTCTTTTTTTTTAAGACCTATAACTTTGTAACATTTATTTTATTGTGGTGAAATATACAAAATGTAAAATTTATGATTTTAACCATTTCTAAGTATTCAGTTCTGCATCAAGCATTCAGCATATTCACATTATTTTGTGACCACCTCCACTGTCCAGCTCCAGAACTTTTTCATTACTTCAAACTGAAACTCTATACCCATAAAACAGTAATACCCAAAACTCCTTGGTAATACCTAACTCTTGGTATCCACTAATTGGTTTAAAAAAAAAAAGTTATGGGTAGAATCTTTTAAACAATTATTTGAGAACAGAACTATTAATTTGTGCACCTTATATTCTGTACATTATCATACTGAGAACTAGAACCATAACACCTTCATATTCCTTTTTTTTTTCTTAAGATTTTTTATTTGTACATACAGAACTGGGGTACAGGCCAGAGATCAGGGGCGGTGAGAGGCTTCACCAGAGACAGAGTGGGGAGCAGAACAGGCAGATCGACGAAGTACACTGCTGAGGGGAGCAGCGGGCGGGTCAGGAGAGGTCTGCCGCGCCATGTGGTCACCTCCGGGGCAGGCGGGGATCGAACTCATGCGGAAGCGGCTTTTAGCTTCTCAGTGCAGTGCTTTAACCCGCTGCGCCATCAGGGAGGGCCCATATTCCTTTAAAAAAAAAAAAAAAAACAACTCACTTTACACATACTGTGATTTCCAACATGAGCAGAGATTTCTTTTAAGAAAGCTATTTTCCCATAGCAAACAGAGTCATGGAGAAGCTGTGATTCACATACTTTGTCCTTTCTGTCATCCAGGCTTATGGTGGAACTGAAATTCACATGATAGACAGCAGTTTCCTTTTTCTTGAATTAGAGCATTTATTTTTATTAGGCGGACTTATGGGCAAAACCATACAAGTTGTGTTTTGCAAAAGAATTCCCAGAATTAAAAGACTGGATGCGAGTCTAGTGCAGTAGACATGCTTCACATCACAATAGCTCACATTTGACAGATTTTGCAACTAAGTTTTTACCCATATATTCCCTCTGCAGTGCACTACAAGAACAAAATGATTTTCCAATGCCCACCACCCATCAACTTCCCTGTACCCCTTCAGGACAGGAAGTTGTGGGCATATTGCTTATGTCACATATCTTTTACTTTTTATTAGTTTGCCATAGTAAGCTTTTTGATATGTAAGTTAGTCCAGAGAACCACAGTGTAAATCCAAAGCACCATTTTCACCAAAGAAAGTGTTGAATGTTATTATTAGTTAAAAAAAAAAAGTTTTTTTGAAATGTTGTTTCAGAAAATTCTCATGTTCTTTAACAATATTTCCCATAATTTCAAATACAGAAAAAAATTTAGCTCTAGATATTCCTATATATTAAGCAACATACATACTTCAGAGAACAATATATGATTTTTTAAAAGATATTTGTCTAAATGTATAGGGATAATTTAGAAGACACTGGAACTTTTCATATAAAAATCAGTGGACATTTGTCAAATGAATGGAGAATGGATTTTGCTTTGTGCATTTGACCACAATTTTAAACATGTGCCATTTTATTTAAATCTCAGGAACACTCTTTGAGGTAGTAATTTTTATAAACCTTTTACATGTGGGGAATCAGAGATTTAAAGAAGTAAATATATAATGCCATACAACTTATAGGGACAGTCTTATGAGCTGAACCCAGGTAATGAATTACATGGTGCTGTTAATTAGGTGGTTAGGACAAATGTTAGGGGAAAAATTGTCTTTCAGAATATGGGATAGCCACACAGTGAAAGATGAAAAAGAAAAAAAAAAAAGGACTTTCTGACCTCAGTGCTACAGATAGGAAGTTAGTGTTTATTCATAGTTTCATGTGAAGATGTTTTGAATTTCACAGTATGAAAAACTTGGAACTTAGTGCACTCATACTTTGTCATAAAAGGAAAAGGAACCGCCACAAAAAAAACTAGGGGGAGCAGTGTTTCAAGGCTTTGTAGTTGGTCTCAAATACCCTAATTGTGTCAGGGTAGAAAAAGTTGACTGATATTGTTGTGAGTCTGCCT